CAACCCAGGCATGTGCCCTGATCAGGAATCAAACCATGACGTCCTGGTTCATAGGGTGATGCTCAACCACTGAGCCACACAGACTGGGCGTCTTTTTACTTTCTTGATAGTACCCTTTGAAGCACAAGTTTTTAGAATTTGATAAGGTCTAATTCATCTATTTTTTTTCTTTGTCACTTGCAGTTTTGTTGTCATATCTAAGAACTCTTTGCCTAACCTAACGTTATGAAGATTAACTCATATTTTCTTCTAAGAGTTCTATTTTTTTTAGCTCTTATGTTTAGGACTGTGATCCATTTTGAGTTAATTTTTGTATATGGTGGTAAGTATGGACCCAACTTCATTCTTTGGCACGTGGACATCCAATTGTCCCAACATTATTGATTTCTGTATTCAACTGTTTTTGTGCATTTCAATGCAGATCTAACACTGTCATTCATAAAAATTCACTTATAAAAAATGAAAAGTCATAATAATACCGTTGTGTGTGTGTGTTTTTTTACCAGCTCGCAGCACACAATTTGAAGTCTGCTGCTTTTATGGTTCACATCGGTGCTTCTCAAACTTGGTAACATGAAGATTGGTCCAGCAGGTGTGTGGAGGCGGTTGATATTCTGCTCATCTCACAAGTTCCCAGGTGATGCTGAGCGGCGGTCTTTAGTTCTGTCTCCACGGTGGACCACGGAACCAGGTAAGTCACATCTCTCTGCCCCTGACGTTGTCCTTGTGCTCATTTCCTGTCGTTTCACAGAAATAGAGTGAGAATCAATGACTTGCCACACACACCGAATACTGACATGTTTGTGCTCCACGTTAGCCTATCTTGTGTTCCCTATGTTTCCTGTTTTTAACCAATCGTCCATCCTGGGTATAAATTAACCGTAAAGGACTATGATTAAAGATGATTTAACGTGTGCAACGCTCAGACTGCTGTGGCTGGGCTGTGGCTGGTGATAGTGGCCAGGGAGCGAGTGAGTCACACCCCGCTCTGAGCACCGTGGAGCCAGGCTGCTGTGTGTGCGCCTTCCACCTGACACACAGTTGGCTTGAGAGATATTTACCAATATTTTTAAATAGTTATTAATGTTACAAGTGGACATGGAAATACGCACTGTTGCTGCATGTTGTGATAGGCCTGGAAAACCTGTTCGCCCCTGGGGCCTGTGTTAGCCTCGGGAGGAAACCAGGAACCACTGATTCTTAACTGTTTTGGGTGGTGGCTCTTTTAAGAATCTGATTAAAGCCATGGACAGTCTCACCAGTCTCGGGTTAGTTCCTCAAATGCTGGTAACCAAGGTCTGACCCTCTACCATCCCCTTTCAAACCATCTTCAATACAATACTTCTGATTCCTTTCCCTGAAGTTTAGCTCTCATTGTGCTTCCCTGCTCGTTTCCTCAATAGCTCCCCCAGGGTGGTTTGTGGGCCTCCCGAGGAATTGGCTGATGTTAGCTAAAAAGGCCAGTTTCTGGGCCCCACGTCAGGGCTTCGGGACCAGATATTCTGGCCCTCAAGGCAGGGCCATTTGTTGGAGTTTGTAGGCCAGGGATTCTAGCATGAGGCTCTGTCCCATCTCATACCAAACGGGTAACAGGCACCCACAGGCCAAACAGACATGGTTTTCGTAATGTTTTTGAAAAGATGTTTATCAACTTTACAAACCTATCTTGCCCTGGCTGGTGGCTCGGTTGGTTGGAGCAATGTCCTGTGTGCCAGAGGGTTGCGGGTTCAATTCCTGGTCAGGGTATATACCTGGGTTGGGGGTTCAATCTCCGGTTTCTCTCTCACATGGATGTTTCTCTCTCTTTCTCCCTCTTCCTCTCTCTCTCAAGTCAATAAGAACATTTCCTGAGGCGAGGATTCGAAAATAACCCTCCTCTTTCTCTAGAGCTTTATGTTGACATGGAGTTATGTAAGAATCGTTTGCATTTCTTGCCAATGTTACCTTTTGTCGTGTGAAACAATGGTTCTTTCTGATGTTGCAGTGGTTGGGTCAGATTGGAGAGATGACACAGTTCTTTTCAGCTCAGACACCTTTGTGGGCCCTTGGGAAACAGGTGGGCCCTGCGCACTGTTCCCTGATACAGGAGAGCCTAGCTGTTCTGAGCGGGTCCACAGTCTCGGTGTTTAAGCTCCCAGGAACAGTGCCTTTTGTGAACATTGTGCCCACTGAGCATGATGTTGGCTGTAGCTTTGTCATAGACGGCCTTTATCACGTGGACATATATTTTATAAATATTCGAGTTACGATTAAAGAGTGTAAGAAGTTTACGAAAACAAAGACAAAACTCAGAAGAGAAAAAAAGAGTGTAAGAAATTATCGAGACCTTAGGCTATGTGCTCATTTTGAAGAATTATCTCCTGGGGAAAAAAATTAGTCAAGGAGCTCTTAATTTCAAAACCCTCTAACCCTGACACCAAGGATGGCAAATGAGGAAGGGGGTTAATGCTAGAGCTACTTGGTAGAATATTCAGTTCCCAAATACACTGTTTCTTTTTTTTGTTAATCCTCACCCAAGGCTATTTTTCCATTGATTTTTAGAGAGTGGAAGGGAGGGGGAGAGACAGAGAGAAAAAAAACATCAATTGGTTGCTTCCTGCACGTGCCTCAATCAGGGCCAGGGATCAACCCTTCTGTCCATGAGCTGACTCTATCCACTGAACCAAACTGGCTTGGGTATCAAATATACTTCCTTTTACCTATTTATTTAAAGAGTTGACAGCAATTTGAAGAGGCTTTAAGTAGCTGTAAATTCTTGTGTAGTTCTAGCTGACCAATTTTAATTTCTTAAACCCACTCTTTTAAGAAACGCCATTTTTAGAAATGTTTGTCTCTGTTGCAGAGGGTGGGCAAAGGAGGGCTGCTGCCTGGGGTGGGGCAGGGAGGCTGGGGAGAGGGGAGGACGTGGGGTAAGGGGTGGATCTCGGCTTGTGACTCAGCCCATGAGGGTCTCACACCAACTTCCCACCCCTCTTTTTCCTCCACTCCCTTCTCTCCACTTACTTGCTGATATAGTCACTTCTCTGAATCTGTTTTAACCTGGGGCTGAGTCCCAACAGTTAAATCAGAGTGGATGTATACTTAAGTGCTTGGCACAGGCCTGATACATAGGCAGTGTATGCAGGGCCTTTGTTCCAGCCCTCATACCCACTGGGCGCTTTCACTGCTGGGCCTCCTTGCCTAGAATGCCCCGCTTCAGATGCCCCCATGGACGCGGATGGGAGTGGGGACTTCCCAATCCTCTGAGATTCTATGCTCTTTAGCTAAGCCAAGTAAAAGCACTGGCCCCTTTCTGCCTGACAGCAAGGCTACACTGGTCTTACAGCCCATCAGGGTGTCTGCTGGTTCACCTTTGCTTGCCCTGTGACCCCCAGGTACACGGCATGAACCAAGACACAATGTCTGTACATTGAGCGATTTAAATTGTGCAGGTACGGGTCATGATGGGAAGAAGACTGGGTTCTAGGTGAGACTCTATCACTTATTGACCTTGTCATTTCCACATCTCAGTTCTCAACCATCAAATGGAGACATTGCTTTATTACTTCAAGCCTGAGATACACCCATGTCACATCAATCAAATTAGGGCATTTACAAACCTCCTGCTGTTTCAGATAATTGTTTTGATTGGTTGCAGACAGCTTAATACTGGTGTTGCTAGCTTACCTCAGAATAATCCCTTTGGGGAAAACTGCAGGTCCTTAAAAGGCACAAGTTGTTAGCCTCACTCAGAACCTGCACAGCTACCTATGGCAGGATTCCCTATTTCATCCCCCCGTCTGTGCTTCTCCGTGGGTCTGGCCCTCAGTGTTGCTTCCAGAAGTCTCTCTAGGAAAAGTTAAATCTTTTGTTGTAGTTAAATCTTGATTTAAAAATATCACCCAAATGTTTTGAACAATGCCACCAGTTGGGAAGTGGTGAGTTGTTACAAGATTGAATTTCTAAGATATTGTGTTCTAAGCCTCTACCGAGATTGGAATCCTCTTCTATTTTCAGGGCATTTGTCATTGGCTCAGCCTTTCATTAGACAACCTCCACATTCTAGTTTGACCTTGAATGGGGGCTGGCAACAAACAGGAAGTATTGATTCCTTATAACCTTTCTTAGAAGTTGGAAGCCTATTATTTCAGTATCTGGTTAGGACCGGTTTATGATCCGAATGCGGGATTGTATTTTGTGTTTAACAGAATGGACCCTGGAGTACACGATACTTTACTATTCATTGTCCTTTGTCAGGGATAGCCTCCTGATATTAATTCATTTACAAACACATCTGTCACTCTATTTTTTAATTCTACAAACCTAATTTTGTAAGCACACTTCTGCATGCCTTTTCTAGGGGTTTGGAGATTAGGTGAACCCCACACTATGCCTGTCCTTTTGGAAAACTTATAGGAGAAGCTCACTAACCGTGTTCTTGGCCTATTCGCTCAGGCCCCAGTTGAGAAGCTCCGGGTCAGACAGACTCCCTGCCCACTTCTGTGGTTCTTTCACACACACGATATTGACTATAGATAAAATAGAATCTGCAAGTCAGGTGTTTCTGAAAACAAGTTTTATTTAAATAAGGGTTTAAATACATAACATAACATTAAAACTGAAGGAGGGAAAAAAGAACACCCCCAAAATCATTTTTGTTTTTTCACTTCACATGGCATTGGGCAGCTGTTGCTAGGAAGTTGCAAGCTCTATAGCTACCTACATGACTGACACTTCAGTTTGAAATTTGTTCCCTTGTCAAAAGTTTAACTCTGATAAGAAGGTTGGCCTCAAATTATGGTGTTTGGACAACAATTAGCTAGGATCTGTCTGGTCAAAAAGCCCTTGGTGGCAAGCCACAAGCCCTT